CAAACGGAAAAAAGCGCACACAGAAAAAAAGCGCAAACAGAAAAAAGCCCAAACAGAAAAAATGAGCACAACGTTGCGCTTTTTTCCGTTGCGCATCTTTCTGGGAACCGCACAATGTATGTTTTAAACGAAGGAAATATTACTAAAACAGAAATAGGCTTTAACTATTAAACACACAGAAAATAAGGAAACAAAACAAACCTGATTTCTTTAAAAAGGTATAGGTAACTATAAAGTGTAAGAGACCATCGTGGAGTAACCAAAGCTATTATTAATGAAAGCAAGTTTGAATAATTTTCTTATTTTCAGTGAAATTTAATAGCTGTTTGTTGAAAAACGTAATATATTTTTAAAAATAATTTTAGATAACTCAAGAAATTAAAATGGTATGGAATTTTAAAATATATTTGGTCTTTCAATCCATATTTCATAATTTAGAAAGTATTTAGTTAAGATGAAATAATGATAACTGAACCAGTTGTAAAGCGATGGGTTTTTATTTATATGTTGCTCTGAATAGATGTGTAGATCTTGTTTATTTTACTTTGACCCACTTCATATTTTTTTGGCAATACGATAGGGACAGGTGTGTGTTGAAATTCTCCATCTGTTTTAGAGTTGGCTGGTAAACTGAACTAGAGGTGTTAGTGAGTAAAAGAACAGTCGGATGAAAAAAAACATCTCTAACATACTGATATCAAATTAAATTTTATTTTTAGAGCGACTTTTGTTATTATCTGCATTTATTGTTATATTAAACTCATCTGTTATACCCGCTGTGCACTACTGCTAAAGTAGATAAATAAGTTATTGGATGATAACATTTTTTTTTGCTTTCCTATTTTTCTCAATTGGAAATAACTAACTGTTGCTTTATGAATTTTGAACACGAGAACGAACTTTCAATCGGGAACATAGCAACTGATAAAAGTTAATGGGAAAAGAAAAAAAAATCCAAAAATACAGGGAATAAAATTTTGGTTATTGACAGTCTGCGGTTGTTCAGACGCTTCTATTAATCTCTCTTATCACCAACAGTATTCTCTATTCTGGGTTGTGATAAAAGTAAAAGACAAACATGTTTCTTATTTGACATATCACAGATGAGGTAACAACCAAATGATTCTCTTAAAATAGAACATGCATGAATAAAGACTTTATACTAGCTTGTGGGAAATTGTACATACATTAATTATCCCCATATTGATTGTAATATCGTATCGAATGAAAAATTTAAACATTTTTTAACTAAAAGAGTATTTAATGGTTATGTATCAGTACTACAGTTCGCGAAATTATAAATACACCATTCTAAGTAAAATTTGAATTTCACATTGATTGCAACAGCAACATTCTAAAGACAAAGTTGTAATTCCGACTAAGACTCGTCTTATGTGGGCGTAATTAAATAACTGTTTGCAAATATTTAATCGACGATAGAGGATTAATTTACGGACAAAAGTTTCCCAATTTTCACTCTATCATAACATTACCGAGCTACTAAAACGTTTACCAAACAAATCATTACTGATAAATAAAATATACATATAAAAAACATTACAGCAGTGGCGGAACTAGAAAAATAGGGCCACACCGCAAAAAATTCTTTTGGGCTCCCATATATCAGAGCGACCCTTCTCTCGGCGAACGGGAACAAACTTTCGATTTGCACCCCCCCCCCCCTTCAAACCCTCAAACTTTCGATTTACAACCCCCCCCCCCTCAAACTTTCAATTTGCACCCCCTCCTAAAACCCTCAAACTTTCGATTTTTACACCCCTCCCCCTCAAACTTTCAATTTGCATCCCCCCTCAAACTTTTGATTTGCACCCCCCTCCCCCCCTCAAACTTTTGATTTGCACCCCCCCCCCTCGCTACACCTCTACCATATATATATATATATATATATATATATATATTAAGGTCGGCTGTGGGCCTCTTAACTGCCCCTGGGCCCCTCCCCCCCCCCCCGCATTGAGGGGTCTGGCGGCACTGTAGTTCCGCCCCTGAGAACAACAGGCACACCGTTGTCTATAACTGTAATTTGAAACACTGCTTTGTTCTGGTAATCGTTTATTGAGGGGACGTAGTGGGGTGGGGAAGTATTCAGTGGGTGGGGGGTTACCTGTAACGCTAGGCTACACGCGCTGTCAGCGCCGAGCTAAAAATAAATCATTACATAAGAAATAAATTAATTGTTTGGAATTTCCGAACATATCACCATGTTAAGAGTAGTATTGTGTACAAGATATAGACCACTAACGTGACGTAACAAGAGTTTTGTAAGGTTAAACCTGGCAATTCTATGTCAAGTCGTTAATGTATTTATTAGCGAATAAAGCAGTTTGTTATCCTCTGCAGTAGTAATTGCGTATTGCACATACTTTCGCACATTGAAAAACACATACAAATACATTCAGATTTTTAAGCACTGAAATTCTGAGTTTTAAAAAAAAAACACCGCAGATTATTTGCAAAAGAAGCTTAAAAATACATTTAGATGAAAGCATTTAATAAAATCCAACCAATTTTTTTTTTTTATTTTCACTACATTGTCTCAATTTTATGTCAAACCAAATAAACCTTGTAGTGTCTCTGTAGTTTGTTTCTTAACAAGACCTTTCATTAATAACGTTTTTTTTACTTCACCTCATTGTCGTTAGACTTCACTAATGTAAACATAACCCCCTCCCCTAAAATGATGTCCAACCCTCCTGGGTGTGGGTGGCCATGCTGGGTAAAGAATATAAATAATAATCAATTTAACGATTCACAAAAATCGCATAAATAATGTTTCCACTAATTTTCCCAACGCACATTTAATTTATATGGTCACACGGCTCTAAATATGCTTCTCCTCTCACTAAATATAAGGACACAATTAAACACTGCAACGATATCTAACCTCTGCGATGATTTTTTAAAAAAATCTTAATGAATATTTCGTAATATTCCTCAGCCAGGACCCCCCTCTCCACCACATTCTTCTATGGTTGAGGTATTCCACCCCTAATATTCCCGTCCCCCCTTCGCATAAATATATGTTAATTCACCTTTGAATGAACTCTAAAAATATCATGTAAAAATTGGCAGTTTACCATATCGATTACAGTGTATGTGGTGGCTCTATTGTTTGACATTATATAGCCTTATCTTCTTCAAAAATCAAAACACAAATCATTTCGACTCGGTTCTATTACATAAACATTTAAAATAATTTTAAATATGGTGAAGTAAATAATCAAGACAAATTATGTCCTAAATAATATAGACAAAAATGTTCGTTTCCCCAAGGGCCAGCAACCCATCTAGGAGAGAAACTCCGATATAAAACAACTTTTGCCGTAAAGTTTGTTCTTGGGCAGTTTACTGTTTTGGAAGAACATCCAGAATACAAAACCGGCTGATGGTGGAGTCTACTGGCTCTACATGGCATAAACTTTTGACACGTAATAGCTTTATAATGTTGAAGGATTGCCGCTTCTATATTATAATTACGAATACAAGTTAAACGAATACAATTAATAAAGGCATCTAAGCTTTAAGATTGTTAGCAGTTGATCGAGAATGTCTAAAATTAACTGCTAAAGATTATTGGTCATTTTACAATATAGCTTTTAAGATTTTTATAATTGTAATGTATTATTCCTAAAGAGATTTTTTTAATGTTAAACATGAAACTTTAGTGTATATTTTATTTTAAAATATTTAGAGCTACAGTTGTCCAAACATTAAAGGTTTAGTAATCTATATATTTAATTCTCTTCTTGGAGACGTTAGAAAACAAGCTGTAAGCGCGCCTTGCAGTCCCCTCTCTTCCTCTCTAGGAAGTCTGTTGAGCTTTGACTTGACTTAGTCCTCTTTGCTCCTTATGGAGCATAGGGCCTCCACCATTTCCTTCCATTTCTTCCTATCCTCAGCTATTAATTTTGACATCTCCCAAGACATCCCTGTTGGCTTCAGTTCTTCAAGAAGACTCCGCCTCCAGGTCTGTCTTGGGCGCCCTCTCTTCCGCTTTCCCTGGGGGTTCCACTCAAGCGCTTGGCGTGTAACATTTCTGTTGAGCTTTGGTTCACGCTAAATGTTTACGATCGTAAAGCTGGGTTTAGTGAGGGGCAGATAATTTAGTTTGAAACGATTTTAAACTTAGGAGAGGTAGCTAAGAGGAGGCTGCTTTCACGGGGGGGGGGGGGGGGGGTGTTGGGGGAAAGGGGGGGGGGGGGTGGGGTTATCGTTAGAAAGTAAAACAACTAAATAGCGGCGTATAATACGCCGCGGGTCGGCTCGTATATATTAAAATCCTTTTATAATTCAACAAACCGATAAGCCGAAAACAATTGAACCAAAAATTAGGAAACAGATGTTTTATTTTCAAGTATTAAAATGCTATGTATTTACAATTTGTTAAGACAAATACAAGACATTTAATGGGAACACTTGGCTAACCAATTAAAAATGTTATTTTCTAAGAAAACAATTAGCCGGTATTAGTTAAGGAAAATAATTTATATTTGAAATAAAGCATTTGTAACATAATGATGGATAATGATGGATAAAAAATTTAAAACAGTTAAAACATGTTTAAATCATCATTAAATTTGAATTAACATAACGATATGACACATACAGTTTAATGAAAGGATATGTTCAAACAGGGGCGTAGCGAGGGGGGGGGGGGCGGGGGTGCGGACCGCACCGGGTGACACCATTTAGGGGGGTGACACCAAGGCAAAAAATAGCAAAATATATAGAGAAAAACTTGAGGGGGGTGCAAATCGAAAGTTTGAGGTGGAGGGGGTGCAAATCGAAAATTTGAGGGGGGGGGGTGCAAATCGAAAATTTGAAAGTTTGTCCCCGGGAAGGGTCACTACGCCTCTGGTGGGGGGGGGGGGGGGGGTGACACCACTTAGTGCCGCACCGGGTGACACCCGACCTCGCTACGCCACTGTGTTCAAACAATGTGTTTGTTTAAATTGTTTCTGTAGACGATGGGAGAGAACTGTCATTAGCATCAGCCTCTCCACTCCCCACTATAATTTCCTTCAGAGTTTGATGCACAGTGGGAATGGCGATACAACCTCCCGCAATATCCTAGCGTGAATATAGGCGCTCCACTGGAGCCTGGACAAGTACTTGTTGTGTACCAGTACTTAGTCCAGACATGGCTATCAACCCTCTCTTGTTTGCGTGTCCATTGTCCTACAGAGATCTGTTTAGGACACCCATGAGGATGTGACACTATAACGGTCAACTTGTCCACGTTAACAAATCTCCTGTATTTGTCGCTTATTTTTTCACAAAGATCATACAAGCACCGACACATCTTGTCCAGTTCATCAACCAAATCTAAGTCGCATGTCACATAACTCAACACACTCCTGTCTCTCTCAATATCTGCCCCACCCATCTCCCAGCCATCAAGATCGACACCTTGACTGCTATTGTCATCAAAACATAAAACACACCTGGTCTGTCTCGCCTCACTGGCATCAAACACCACATGAGTGGATGTCAAGACACGAACTTCCCCCCACACTTTACTGGGTGTGGCAGAGACTTGACACTTAACACAACGACAAGTTTGGTCACTCTCTGTATACTTGTCGGCCCAACAAATCCTCCCTGTCCCTAACCTCATCACGTGACTTCCTCTGTCATTATAACATGGATATGGATCATGAGTGCCTGGGTAAAACTCTGGTAACTCTCTAGACTGGTGAAACTTGTCTTTACCTGGACAGTTAAGGCTGCCATTGTTTTGATTGTCTTAGACATGAGGTCGTCGTCATGGTAACGTGAGGGAAGACAATTAGTGTTGAAATCTTCAAGAGGTATAAAACCTATATGACCTGGATTCTTCTTACAGTCTGCCATTCGTTTGTGTAGATCAGCTTCTTCATAGCACATCTCGGCTTCATGATTTCCTACAAAAATTAAAAAAAGAAACGATTACAATACCCTACATCTAATACGGTGTAATAAGATCAACTACATGTTTACACTAGGACGGATTAAAAACTGTTTAGAATAGAGTTAAATTATGTTTGTCATATCTCAACTGGATGAAAGACACATGTTAGGTTAGTTTTGAAAAATGTATGTGGACTCCTAGAGAATGATGCACCTTAAAACCACAATCATTTTTTACAAGTATATTAAAACAATAATTTCTTATAGTCGGCTATAATATATTGGTTATAAAACATTTATATTCCACCAGTACTAACATGTTTTAGTTATTGAGGAACGGGCAACAACATATTTGATTCGCAATGTCATATTAGCTTTTAAACTTAATCCCCAAAATATGTGTTCACATCAATGATTTAATGTTTATATGGCTCTACCTTCATGTACGTTTTGTGAGTCCAGTTTTCCTTCTCTCCCTTTGATTGAGGTTTCCATGGTTGGTTTCTGTAGCTAAAGGCAAAAATCGTTAACATACAACATTATGTAAGGATTTCATAATTAAGGTAATGAAAAATGGCAAAATTAAAACTTAACAATATCTTTAGAAGAATTAACTTTACGCCAGTATAATTGTGTGCCAATTTTTTATGTTTAAAAAAAAACTTTTTTTTTTTACTGATGAATCAAAGCTCTACGGATTACACCCAGTCCCTTGGATCAATCAGGGGCAACATCTGACTCTTCTCAACTTAAGGCCCAGTCTTTGTGATTGGATTTTCAATATGAAGACTGTGGAGCTATATATAAGACTGGGTAGGTATAGCAACAATGCCTATACATGTTTTATGATAATTTAAATCACATATATTGCTTATCATTAACCCATTTCCTGTAAAAAAAAATTGCTAACTATTTCGTACAAAAAACATTTTTCTTTTATTTAGAAATGGTTAGATTCGACTATTGTATTTGTGTGTTTGTTTAAAATTGTTTGATTTTTCAAAAGTTGCAGCGCCGACTTAACTAGACTTATCAAAGTTGGGGGAAAAATTTAACACGCGCACATATAAGTGTAAGATCTTCTTGAATATTTATTACGAGAAAAATGGCCCGTTGAGGAAGGATACACCGGGCGCTAGGTTGATAGTGCTGTCTCTTTTCTCTAAACTAAAACCAACCCATCCCCCACACACACCACCCCCACCCCACCCACCCCCACCCACCCCACACACCACCCCCCCAACCGCACCCCCCACCCCCACCCCAAACTAAAACCAACCCACCCCCCCACACACACCACCCCCCACCCCCACCCCTCCCACCCCCACCCACCCCACCCCCCCCCCCTCCCCCAACCCCCTACCCCCCACCCCCCACTCCCAAAAAAATCATGTCTACCGTCCCATTCAACGAAATATAATTATATACTTTTTCCAGTGTCCGCCCCCCTTCCCGAAAATTCTACCCCCGCCCCCGAAAATTTCAATTACCCCCACCCCTCTCCGGGGAGGAAAAAGTCTGAAAGAAACACTGTTGTCGCGCTTAGCCACTACCCGAAGAATTGCATTAAAGAAATTGCAAGAAAACCACTTTTTAGATTAGACACATTAATTAGGCGGTAATTTTATTATAGAGTATCGATGAAGAAATTTCTTTTGAGCTGGGGAGGGGGGTGGGGGGGGGGGGGGTTCAGACGTTCTTACGCGTGGGGTGGGGCTTCGGCCCTACCCGAAGAATTGTATGCAAGAAACTCTTCACGCAAACCATTTAGATTAGACAACATTTCCTTTTTATTTAATGTTTACGCGATAATCAATGACGTCATTATATTACTGTGTGCACTTTCCGCCTTGAGATTATTTTCAACTCCATGCTAAATGTGTCGACGTCATACTTCGTTTTTCGAAATACTATGCATGTTTTTAAATTGCTTGTGTTTTCTCTAGAGCGTTCTTGTCAGACAGAGCGTTCTTGTCAGACAGACAGCGAAACTATTATTATAGATTGCAAAATACATTAGAAACTTGTAGCTGTACCATATTTCTATGTAATGAAAAATAACAATTTAAAAACTATTTCCAGAGGCGTAGCGAGGGGGGGGGGGTGAGGACCGCACCGGGTGACACCATTTAGGGGGGTGACACCAAGGCAAAAAAAAGTAAAATATAGAGAAAAGCTTGAAGGGGGGGGGGGTGCAAATCAAAAGTTTGAGGGGGGGTTGCAAATCGAAAATTTGAAAGTTTGTCCCCGGGAAGGGTCGTTACGTCTCTGGGGGGGGGGGGGGGGGTGACACCATTAAATGCCGCGAAAGAATAGGAATCTTTGTTAATTGTTGACTTTGGGGTGTTACCTAATATTTGGAGATATTTAATTAAAACATTGAACTATATATTAGATATATATTAATGTATAAAACATAAACACAATTTTTTGGACAAATTTACATATTTTATTTCTCATGAGTCATGATTAGAACTGTTTTATTCAATGTCATTGAATGTACTTATTTTGTATTTATGTGAATTCTACAGTCACATACATTTGATTTATAACAAACGAGATTAAAAATAAAGGTCACGATTTAGGTGAAAACTATATTATTGGGTTTTGTTAACATATAATATGGATATAATGTTCAACATTCTTTATATATTGGAGCTCAAGTTACATATAGGGATGAATGGGAATTAGATTTGTACTGTTGTCATACCCTAATGACAATCCTTTTCAAAACTTCCCCCTATCAGATTTACTTTGCTAACATTTACGAGACTTTTTTAAGGAGATTGCTGGTGCTTGATCTAGAGCTGTTCAGATAGTGAGGTGCCTACATGGATGAGAGTCAGGGAACCCAATACAGAAAAGCAGAGATGGACCCGGACCTAGAGATGTGATGTGAGATGACTGCGCAGACGCCTGTGAATTTAATACACGGGTCATATAACAAATAACGAGGTTCGTGATATGTTCAATAACATGATCGGTTGTTTTAAAGATTTGCTTTACATGGTCAGGACAAAAACAGATGGTATGGGCACCTGACTTGGTACTGCAGCTTTTCGAGGACAGTCTTGCAAGTTCGAGTGAGAGGGGGGGGGGTGTGAAAGCGAGTGTAATAAAGGAGTAGATGTCTACATGACGTCTGAGACTGGACCTGATCGTCTTTCGCAGACTCACTGAGCGCATCAGAGCATCCGGTTATTGGCAAGACATTGGGGAAATGGCAACCATGATATCCCAACAACCGTCCGCGACAAATCATTACGTAATGTAATGATCTTTGTGATAATCTATGACAACACGAAATGGGAAAGTAAAACTTTATTTATGGATGCCCTACACATATGTTTTTCCTGATGTAATTTTGTATATAAGCAATACTATATCGTTGTTTTTAAATAAATCTAGAGATTTAGAAGGCGAACAAAATACAACTTATTAAAATACACGATGTTAATTAAATAATCCAAACACTGAAATAGTAATGTTTTAAATTGTCAAGATGAAATATTTACATTCTGTATAAATTCCATTATAGTATTTATGTTAAACGTAAAACGCCCTTGTATTTTACTAATACTTACTTTGCAATTCAATAAAAACAATGAACATATAAATCTAAATGTTGAACGTATCACAGAAAGCTTGGTTTACACAATGTCTGTTGGTGGTCTAGTCAAGGTTTTATATAGACGAGGCTAACATTTATACGACTTTTGACGATCGGGGAAAAACCGTTCCTGTCTTTAATTATATGTGGTTGTTGACGTCAGCAAACACCCTGAGACAAAAAATGGCTTCGTTGTTGGTCATCGTATAGAGTTAAAAGGTGGAATCGGCAAAGAATTTGATGTCAATTTAATATGTGGTGGATGGTGAAAATAAGGTTATTACATGTGATATATTGTACATGTGTCATTGAGAAAAAGTAGGTAAACGTTTATTGCTAATAGAACAGCTATAAAACTTGCTTTTAATTGATCAGGAGAGCTGATTTTTTTTTTCTGTAGCGTTAACCCGTATTTCGTTTGTTAGCGGTTCGCCAAGTAAGGCAATCAAGAACATTTTTTCTAACCCGCAATTCTCGAATTGTGTTCCTAGGGGGTTTGAAACCAGAGTTTCTTCCAGGCATCTCTTCGGGGGGGGGGGGGGGGGCAGAGTCGTTTACATTCCATTTGGTACAACGTTTGTACCCCATACCAGAGAGAAAACCCTCGAAAAATTACATTATGTTACTGATGTAGTTTTTTCTCTTTAAAATCCTTACATAACTCAACGAATGGAGATTCAAACTGATCATGACTTATTGATTCAGTACTAAATTTGTATCTCACCTTTTTCTTTATGTTTAGTATATTAAGGTCAAGGTTGTTCCTGAATTGTGAACAAAAGCTTTGACGTCAACCAAACAGGAACATAATTTGTTGGTTGGCTAACATCCAAATACTATTTTTAAATAAACACGCCTGTCAAACTATTTTCTCAATCTATTTAATTTAAAATTAATGCTGACTAGCTCGAAAACAAGATCTTAAATAATGTATTTCATTTAAAATGCTCCTACAAAATGCGCATATCGTTTTGAAATTAAGTATTTTAACAGGGCGTTTATCCTATGGTATGTGTTATTATATACTTAAAAATATAGTTAGATAGATAAGTGCCCATGATTTTCTTGTCGTATTTCTCGAGATGCGATGTGCTGGTGTGTTTGCGAATGTAATACTTAATTACAAATTTATTGACATTAAATTTATTATTGTCATTTTATCATCATCATCTTATCCCAGTCGTGCCCAAGTTCATCTGCATTAAAGACCTAGGCATATGAAAAATAGTGTGTTCAGCACTAAGCAAAGCCGTCTTTCTTTTCTCTAACATGAGGTAGGTACCCAACAGAGCTGGGTGGACTCAGGGACATTCTACTGACTTGAACGAGGAAGCGAACTCGAGACTCTCGGTTTAGCATTCTATCTCACTAACGCTATGCAGTATTGTTTTAATTTTATTTTGTATCTTTTTAAAAGTCACTATTCCATGATCTCTATGGGAAATATTTAAGATCATTATTGTAAATAAGATTAAAGTTCATTATTAACTAATAGTATTGCTTAAAAAAAAACGAAACTCTTAAAAGAATTCCAATAAAGTATGTAGATTGCATCGAAATAATAAATAATAACTTTTTTCGGGGGGCAGAGACCCCCCCCCCCCTCGAAGAGATGCCTGGAAGAAACTGCTCCATTCTAGTGCCTCTGATAAAAATTAAATCCTTAAGCCGTTAAGCAGACGGTTTTATATATAAAGCATCTAGTCGATCTGAACGTATTCAGAATTGCATACGTACATTATAGAATTGTTGGACTAATCCACAAACAAACGGAACGAATTATTTTTCATATGCGACCGAAGCACTGACAGCAGATTTTGAAACTAGCCTTTCACTACTATACACACATTAGACAGCTTCAAGTGCTTAGCGTATCTCTTTGCATTAACTATATAAACTATGCGTAGACATTTGACAGTCTAAATAGATGGTGGGATAATATAAACGCTATCAAGTACCACATAAAAAAGTCAACATAATTATATCCTTATATAAAGGTCAATAAAGCAGAGAATGGAAGACTGACTACAGAGGACTTAATTGTACGGTTTGGTATATGGCGAGGTTGTCTACTTTCATCTTTCTTGATCCATTCATTGAATTATGAAGATGTCAACAGAGAATAAGCGAAACGTTATACAGTGGACACTCTGGGCTAAGGTTAAGATCTAAGATCCAAGCAATGTGGGGACATTGCTTACATTTAAGGAAAAAGAATTCTTATAGTCAGAAATAGGCATCTAGTTTCTAGCGCAAACTAAAGAGAAAAATACAGAAGTGAGGTGAAACGTTGAAATCAATCAAATTCTAGTCAACAGGCACAAGTCATGTATTATAGGTTATTTAGTATATTATATTTTACTTTATTTTAGTCTTCACTAAGCATACACAACACGTGTGATGCATTCACTAGCACAACTTTTCATGAATTTAAATTGCGTTAAATCCGTTTGAAATTTTAAACAAAAGTTGAACTCATTATATATTTTAAGCAATATTTCTGATCATTTGTAATACATGGGGCGTAACCGTTCTTAACTTAATCTGTCTATAGGTTGGTAAAATTTCGTTTTATATTACGCTACAAGAACTAGTAAAATAAAATATATTTTAACTTTTGTGTCTTATTACAATTTGTTTATAAAAACGAAGCGTTATATTTAAAAATTCTGCATGGTCTAGTTCAAAGATTATTTTTTAAATTTAAATTTTATTTAATATGTATGATTTTGATACACACCAAACATTCAATACACTGAACATTAGTGCTTATAAAAGCAGATCGATTGTATAATCGATTGGGGCGCAGTGTGAACTTGCCTTTGGTGTGCTAACAAACATTGTGTGTACTTTCCCAAACACATTCGACCAACTAGCTTGCCACACTTCACCCGTGGTTGAACTAATTGTTGAACAATCTCAATGATTCTACCTTAATGGTAGTTTATTGTTGATCTGACCTATCGCTCGTGTAGGCTCATGTATAACCTGCATGAAATCTGCGTGGTAGCACGCTCCTAAGCCGAAGGCTTGTTCTTTCTGCGCGCCTCTTTTGCCATGTAACATAAATATTTCTATATGGGCCTACTCTAAACAATTATTATTTAACATTTACTAAATTATCCAACACCTACCTGATTTGAAATGAGGTATAAGAAAGGAGCTGCCTTTATAAATAAAGTTTGTAAAATAAACAATTTATTGTTCAATTCTTTTATTTAAGAAAGCATATTTGCTTATGTATTCATTCTTTAAGTGCATAGAACACATTACTGTAATGCAGGGGCGGAACTACAGTGCCGCCAGACCCCGCAATACGGGGGGGGGGGGGGCAGGACGTTTAGGGGCCCAAAGCCGACCGTAATCAATTTTTCTTAGAGTTAAAAAAATAATTTTCTTGTTAAAAAACAAACAGATAAACTACAGTAGTGATGTTCTACAGTAGCTAACACACGCTGTTTCGTATAGGTCATAGGAAAACAAATATATAGGCTACATGAGTTGTAATGTGAAAGATAGGCAAACGTTCAAACCACTTCCATGACTTATTTCCCTTTTTTAAATAGTCAATTATGTGTGTTCTTAAGAAACTTTTAATAGATTTGCACTAAACAAATTAATAAGCAATTACTTTTCTTAATAATAATTTTTAAAAAATACATAATAAAGAATGACATAGTATAAAAAGGAAATGTATTAAAAACTAATAATATAAATTAAAAAAACATAAAAATAAACATAAGGCGAAAAACAATTACGAATACAAAGTTTTCATGCTTCATATTCTATTGACCGATTTGTACGTATAGAAGCATTATGTCAGCCATTAAAACAGAAAATTTCAAAACAGACTAATAGAACTCACACAAATGAAGTGTTGTTGAAACGTATTTAATTAAAAAAATAAATAAAACATTTTCAATTTTCGGACAAGCCCTTAATGAGTATTCCATGTCCGTATTTTCGTGTTTTGTTTATATATATATATATATATATATATATATATATATATATATATATATATATATATATATATATGGGGCCGAAAAATATTTTTTGCGGGGTGGCCCTTTTTTCTAGTTCCGCCACTGGGTACATTATAATTGGATATGTATCTAACTGTTTGTTTTAGTATGTAACACAAACGTTAAGATAAAGACCTAAATAAAATACATAAATTATAAAACAACATATGTATTTAACATGGTGATATGTTCGGAAATTCCAAACAATTAATTTATTTCTTATGTAATGATTTATTTTTAGCTCGGCGCTGGCAGAGTGTGTAGCCTAGCGCTACGGGTAACCCCCACCATCTGCCTACTCCCCCCACCCCACTACGTCCCCTCAATCAACGATTACCAGAACAGGAAGTGTTTCAAATTACAGCTATAGACAACGGTGTGCCTGTTGCTCTAAGTTTATTCTTTACAATTTTTAAAAACTTCTTTTTTATTTTAAAATTTTCTTCTTAAAACAATTATATAGGGTATATATATATATATATATATATATATATATATATATATATATATATATATATATATATATATATATATATATATATATATATATATATATATATATACGTGTGTATGTGTGTGTGTGTGTTTATGTGTATAAGTTTACATAATATTTTCCTTTCAACGTCTTCATTTTACAGTAATAAACTACCCCGTAGTATTCACTTGACGATTCTGGAGTAACTGATTTAAAAAAATGAAATACCTAGAAAGGCTAGCATTCTATCATTACACAATTTGGTTTTGCTAACATGAGTGACGACTGCATTGTTAGGTCAAATCATTATGACATTAATGAAGGTAACATCAATAATTCGTAATTAAATCTCACATTACCAAACATTCCAGACAGAGTTTCTTCCAGGTATCTCTTTGGGAGGGGGGGGGGGTGGAGATCGCCTCCCCCCCCCCCCCACCCAAGAAAGTCTACCGCCCCCCCCCCCCCCGAACGAAATGAAATTTATATAGAAAATATATACTTTTGACAGTGTCCGCCACCACCCCC